CTGATGCAAAACGCCACTGGTGGATTTTTATCTTGTGCAAGCAAGAGCTCCTTCACTCACCGTTTTAAAACACACTTTTACTCCCTGTCCTTCAACCCAGTGTCAGATGTCTGTGATCTTATGTTACTTTTATGTACTTGTTTATTGTTTAACTTCGACTCCTCTTTTCTGTTTCCGTATCTTTTACCTTCTGGTGTGTGTTGTTTGTCTTTTGTATTTGATATCATTTTACAGCACTTTGGTTTGCCCTGTTGTTGTTTTTAAGTGCTTTATAAATAAAGTAGTACGGTAACTGTATTTGTTTAAATTACATACTTACAAGTCACCATTTTAGAAAATGCAAGATCAAATCAAAAATGAGTTACAAAAATACTTATATATTTGCCTTCAGTTAGCTGTATTATAATATAAAATACTTAAAAACGTAACTATTGGAAAAGGAGTGAGCATCTTTACTCTCCAGGCAGAACAAAGCAAGTAACATGTTGAATATTTTCATGTTTTGAGACAGGCGAGATCACATGAAACAACTACTTCACCTTAACTCCAAAAATATATACCTAAGATCGTCTACAATCATTCACCGCACAACCCTTCCCTTCTTGCCCTGCTATCAGAATCAAAGTCCATTCAGTGTAAATATCTTTGTACCCTCCCCTTTCACAGACCTCCCTCAAAAGGACTTTGGGTTCGAATTTCAGTTCATATTTGCATTCTTATAACAGAAAGGAAAGCTTTCAGACATTTACAGTCATCATGAGGAGACATGGCGCAGCAAGTGAATCAGCTGGATCAAGAAAAATTGAGCTGTCCAATCTGTCTGGATCTCCTTAAGGATCCCGTCACTATTCCCTGTGGGCACAGCTGCCCCCAGTGCAAGAAGACTTTTACACCGAGGCCTGTCCTGGTGAAAAACCATGTTAGCTGAGTGGACGACCTAAAGAAAGCAGGACTTCCAGCTGCTTCACCTGATCATGCCTATCCTGGACCTGAAAACGTAGCCTGTGATTTCTGTTCTGGGAAGAAGCTGAAAGCCTCCAAGTCCTGCCTGGTGTGTATGGCCTCTTACTGTGAGCAGCACCTCCAGCCTCACTACAACATAGCTCCACTAAAGAAACACAAGCTGGTCAAAGCCACTTCAAAGCTTCAGGAGAACATCTGCCCTC